CTGGTCTTAGTGAGAGGCACACATTTTTTCACGAGGAATAGCTTCTGGAAACAGGCTTCCACCATCCTAAGCACAAATGTAATACAGTTCTTTGGCCCTTCTATCTATTACTGCCAATCTTAGATTAGAACATCCTCAGTATTTTAGATTAAGATTGAAGTACTTTAGGTATTCAAGTATCATCCACAATCCTGAAACTATCTTTAGCCTTTTGATGTCAGAAATTAGAAGAGTAACTCATCCTCACCAGTTTTACTAGATGCCCACATACTAGGAGCTCCTCAAAAGGTTCAGATGCCTTCTATTAGCTTCAGCCAAAAAGACGCTGTTACAGTCAAAACATACTGCAAATAAAATCTTGCCCTGTACTATTAAATAAGCTATATAAAAACCCTTTCAGAATAACTAATATACTACTTACCAAACATTGCTGCCCTATTATCCTTTTCTGGTTTTCAACACACTTCTTCCCCTCCAGAAGACACATTGAGTGTCCTAAAACTGTCAACTTTTAACTCACCATCTCAACTGCTTCACTAAACATCGTCAACAGCATCAACTACATAAAAACCAGAGAATTGTAGGGGTTGTAAGGGACCTCTGGGGAATGATCAAGACCAATCTGCCCCTGCTTAAGTAGGTTCCCCACAGTAAGTTGCACAGGCTGATCTTGATAAATTCCAGAGGAGACTCCACAACCTCTCTGGGCAGTCAGTTCCAGTGCTCTGTTGCTTTCACAGTGAAGTTCTTCCTGAAGTTTGTACAGAACTTCCCGTGTTCCAATTTTTGTCCATTACCCCTCATTCAGTGTGGTGTGCACACCACTGAGAAGGGCTGAAAACGCAATGGACCTAAGATGGGAGACTGATCCTCCGCACTTCTGAAGTATATAACGGCCAGGGGAGCTTACATTGTCCAGGAGCCAGTCAAGCAGCGTGTGGAATGTCACATGTTCAGCAGGCCCTGTACCAGTACAATAAGGCCACATTGCCTCTGCAGCCCTTGCAAAATGTGAGCTGTCAAGAAACACTTTAAGTGACTACAGAACTGATGTTCAACAGCTAGTTAAGTTTTCCACATCCTCATCTTTATTCAAGAGCATGTACAAAACACAGCACAGAAATACCTACACTTCTCAGCAACATTAATAGATAATGAATCCTGATGAAAGCCATCAAAGGAAATTTTTTTGTAGTAAAATTCTGCAGCTTATGATGATACATCCAATAGACAAATTTACATAGCTAACTCACTGAGAAGCAGTCTCCAACCAGCCAAAGCAGCTGCCTATTACTTACTGAATAACCAAAGCAGGTTATGCAGTAAGCCAAGCCACTCCTGGACTTCAGTCACACCATTAACGTACTTTTTTTGTAGTCAGACACTTATTTCTGACCTTCCCAATGCTTCAGATGCTGCTACTTCATGTTCTGCACTACTATAGTACTGCACTGATAGGAAAATGGACCTTTCAGGTATTTGGTGTTTAGAAATAAGTACATTTCATGAAGTTCTTTCAGATTCCTAAAGGAAGTAAACTGCTAGCATCCAATGCTATCATTTTTGGCTGCAGACTACAGGGTTGTTTCTGTATTTTGGTACATTCCGAAATCATTCAGTAACTACAGCACTACTGATCACTGGCTACTATGCAGTTGTATATATTGTATATATACATTCCCTCCTTTATAAAGCATTCCTGAGAATGCAGTACAAGAACCACACCTTAAGGTGGACTGCATCTTCCATGCATAATTTGTCTTTAAAGGTAACTTACTCAGATTATCAATTTACAATCCCTTTCTTCCTTGGTGGAAGAGATGATCTCCTTAATACAACAAATACAATGTTAAAATGTTACTGTGTGGTTAGTGACTGCTGCAAGCAAATGTTCCAATGCTTATACTCCTTTTCCTCCCACGCTGGGAACAGATAACACTGCCAATGTCTTCTTCAGTGGGCACAGTTCTAGTTCCAATACTGGTCTTTTCATGCTAAACTGGCAGCTCATGAAAACCCCCCTTTCCTTCTCTCCCCAACTAGATGCAGAAGAGATTGAAAGCTCTAGTCCATGCCTTTTCTGTAACCACAACTTCCCTCATGCCACCTGAAATTTCAAGCGTTTCTTTTTACAAGTGTTTCATGTTGATGCTTCCACACCACCTCATCTACTTCCTTCAATCTCTCACACGATATCTTCAGGAAGCACTCAGTAGTTTGAATTTATGTATCAATGCTGCATGGCCTACCTGCAACTTCCACTGTTTTGAGTTATTACAGATGCTCAGTATCAAAAAGTCTGCATACCCTTACATTTCATAAGGGCCAATAGTCTGTTTCTTTTTCATATGTGGAAGCTCACCACTCATTTCCCTACCGCTAGTGTTATCCTTCCCAAAGAGGGCAGTTTGATGTTTTGGAAAAAGTGTTATTTTAAATACACAGAGACAGTAATTTTGGTTCAGGTGCAGCTTTTGTTAACAGTATCTGCTAAACAATTTCAATAACTGTTTCAACAGGATTTTAAAAGCATGGTCCCACTCCAAGCGAGAACATCTCTTCAGGTGTTACACTTTCTTCCAGTTACAGATCCACATTTGTCAAGCAGCACTGACAAAAACGTTCCAACTCACTGGAAAAAGGAGAACAAGGTCTAAATAAAATGGTTCATTTGAGGAGGAAGAAACTTAAACTTGCAAATAAGCACAGAATTGTATACTTTTTACTTTTTTTTTTTTTTTTTTTTTTTTTGCAAAAGCACCTAAAACTGCACAGAACTTGTAATACTTTTACTTCAGTAAGTTCAAATCTAGTCTTCTGATCTCATCTCAGATGCCGGATCCGTAGTAGGTTTTTCAGCAAAGAATTCAGGTTCGGGATAGGATCATCATAGATGAGATGCAGAAACTGTACTACAAAAGTAAATCTAATACATGATGGGCTTTCCTGCTTTGATAGCGTCACTGATTGCAATGAAAAAGTAGAACATTCTCCATCCTTTCACACATAAGGTAAGTATTTAAAACTTCACAGGTAGATTTTAAGGTTAGCTAAGGTTAGGCACAACTACTGGCACATGCAGTCCCTTGGGTAGTAAGTCATCTTATACTTAGTACACATACACAGTAGTATGTAAGTAGTAGTAAGTTACAATACAAACCTACTGTATCAGTTATTGAAGCATATTAGCAACAGTCACAGCACTAAAAATTTCTTACTTGTAAACACAGACTTCAGACTTAATCATAAAATGCTCAGAAGCTTTTTAGTTACATACCTGAACAAATTAGACATTTGTTTGTACAGTTGTGACCATTTTCCTGCTGGAAAAGAGACATATATTAGCTCAGAAATGTTTTCTTCCATCACTCAAAACACAACTTACTATTTGGTCTCTCATATATTACTAAGCATGTGGTGGAATAACACCAGTACTTATTAAGCTCCAGAAAACGTAACCTACAAGTGTTCTCACATCAAAGTAAGTTTCTTTTTACATGTCTTGCCTGGACACTACATAACTTTGCTATAAGACGTGAGGGACAACTAATCTGTTAAGTCTAAGTCTCCCCCTACCATGATCAGACACTTCATTTCTGAAAACGAGTGAGAATATGGTTCTCAGCTTGTAGCAAAACACCGAAAGCCCAAATCTATCAACAAGCATTATATTAAAAAACTATTCTTCTATGCAGGACACCTGAAGCAACAGGAGAATTATGCATGGTATCTTGAGCTGGAACTGATAAAACTTATAATTAAGGCCAATATAGGTGATAAAACATTTCAGCATTTCCCATGATGCACATACACAAACTCTACCGTATTTCAGATATGCCATCTGCAGTAATTGTTTACATGTCACTTCGTACTTTTAAATGGGGTTGATATGATAATGCCGTTTTAAGTACAGTCATTCAAACATAGTTTGCCAAGTTTTCAAGGCCTGAAAGAACTACCAAGTCTATCATCTTTTTAATGTTTTACCTGTCATGACACAATAATAATCTAATCTCAGAAGTCAGACATATGCATTTTTATAATTTAATTCTCTCATGTATTGAATTCATACCTTCAAGAAGCAGCCTTCAAGCATTCCTGCAAAGACAAAAATTGCAACAGTTTTATTAACAAGGCTTGCTACTTTCAGCTTTCCTTCAGACTCCTGTCTAAACAAGACATTATTTTAAAGGTAGCACTTCCACACAAAAAGCTTCATTGCTGTGTTTAAGTTTTACATACTGGGACAAAACCCATCTTTAAAATAAATTGTTAGTAGCAGTCTTTAAATGCCTTTCTTTAGGAAGGAGTGAAATAAAATTATAGGTATCTAGTTGGACAGCAAAATTAGAACCTCACACTTCTAGATTTTGACTTTTTAAATGAAAACTGAACTTGGATAGAAATTGTGCTTCAAAACCCACATTTCAGTGAGAAAGATTAAATTCAGTAAAATGAGAACAAAAACCTTGAGTTCAGCTACCAAAGCACCTGAAGCACAATGAGTGTTCTCATGCACACTTTCTGCCTGCTGCAAGTAAATTTAGACTAGCCCCTCTGAATTAGTTTAACACTAGAGCTGAAACAGCTTTAATTCATTACAATTCACCTCTAATCATTAACTTAAGCAATCCTTAATGCCCGCATCAGAATGCATCTTGAGTTAACAGTGCTTTTGAAAGAGTTACAGTGCAACTGTCATCAGCTAACTCAAAACCCAGCAACACTTCATTTTCTTACCAGGGTGCTTTCAATGCTTGGTGAGTTTCTCATTTTTACGCTCTGAAACAAGATACCTCAAATTACATGAATCTAGGCTTGTCCTCTCCTTTCTTTTTAAAGGTGCTACCAGCTGCTGGGCAACAGCACGTCCATAAGTCATTTCAGTAGTGCACCAAAACCCTTATTCACAATATTGAGCTTGTATATGGGGACAGCACAGTAGTAAAACTGGGAGAGATTGAGAAAGATTAAATGACTTTTGAAAGAAAAGTGGTTTTGACTCAGAAGCCAGATCCGTATGAAGTTTTTTTCATCAACAAATCAGGTATGGCAACTTCATCACAATCCACCACTTAAATAACTGTACTGGAAAGGGAATACACAGAGCTTTAATAGGGAATACATCAACAAAAAGTTTCAGCAGTTTAACACTAAGTATTACCTCTATCTGTTGCAGTACAGTTGCCAGGACATCTTTCACCACAATGCTCAACTTTTCCATTATTAAAACCTGTTCATATGCCATCCTAGATAGGAATAAAGCAAGCAGTTAGAATATGTTCATTCAGTAACACAACCCCCCTGGGATGACCAAGTTTTAGCCTTGGGGATCGCCCCTCCTCCCCATTTTTACTTTCCAGGCACAGCCAATGGTTGTAGACATTTGAGTTTGACAAGTTCAATTGAACAGATCCTAATACTGTTTCTCAGCATTTTCAAGAAATGAGAATATAGACTATACTCCTAAAAAATGAGTAATACATTTTAATAGGAAACTTAGAACTAGATTTGTCTGTTTATACTGACAAAGAACTTCCAGCTGTCAACTTCTTTTTTTTTTTTTACCTCAACTCTTATATTAATTTTCTGATAAAGTGTACACTGACATTGATAATTATATGTACGCTGATAATTATAAGTCACCTTGAGGTAATCTTTGTCACATTTACAATGTAAATCTTAGACATATTTTACCAGCTCCTTCACAAGCAGTTTTAAATAACCAAAACTATTCACCCACCTTCCTAGCCTACACACCTCAACAGATCATGTCAAATAACATGCCTGAAATACACTAGTATCTCATTTCTAAGCTAATGACAATGTTACTAATTTGATTACAAGTATGTTGCTAAGCCATTTAACAAGTTAATTTATCCCTACAGATCATTCAAAACATACACAGCTTTCAGGAAAATCCACTTGTGCGTACCAAATACTCTTCTAGTTCCAATGGTGCTTCCATCTTGGGCTAAAATCAAAATTAAGCAAAAATTAGTTCAAGTAGAAAATCTGCTGCAAAGGTCTAAGCACCATCTCATATAATACCATGTCAGGAAGTGATCAGCAGGAACTCAAATTTCTTTTCATACAAAAAAAATTATCAAAATTAGTGTACAATTGTCTGCCAAGAACTTGCAGTTGAAATTCTATACACAGTAGAATAAAGGTGGCCTGAAATCATTTTACATCATTTTTTTAGGATGAAGAACCAAGTCATTTAAACTTCTGTTTTACATTACACATTTATTCACAATGTTAGTCCTAATATTTGTAGATTCCTTCCAACTGAACTATTGTACTGTTCACAGTTTACAGAATCAGCAGTTATATTCAAATATGGCCACATATATGGGTTCACATTAGCTCTAATACATGCCCAATGCAAGACAGTTAACTTGTAGTGAATTACACTGATCTCAAAGGTGGTGCAAGTTAATCAAGTGATCTCTCATGTAGGCCCTCATATGTAATGAAGTGGTACAGAAAAGATGATAATTAAAAACATGTGACCTCAGCACAGGTCTTAACTCATATAATAATTCATCAGTTTAAAGGTGACCAAGAAAATGCAATGTCCTGCAACTGTTCTTCTGTTTTGTTTCACTCAACAGCCATACAAAGACGACAATCTCCAGCACCTCACACATTCTATACTTTCGTCAGACAAAAGTGCGGAAACTGAAATGGAAACATTCACATGCAGGGTTATTCCTATAGCAAAAAAAAAATAACTATTACCTTAATGCTTCTGCACAACGTATTGGAAACCACTGAAAGATTCTGCTTCATACCTAAAAATAAACAGCAGACAAGCGTACCACTTGAAACAAATAGATACTTAGTAGAAGGTCCCTTGATAACACACATTAAGACCTTCTGAAGTCACAGAAGCAATGAAACGTTAAGTACTCAAGCCTTAGTTTGCAGTTTTTTCAGAAGGTAGCAAGGAAAGAAAATGCAGCCATTTAAGTAACAAGGAAACAACAAGTTATATTCGTTCACAAGGCAAAGAAAATATTTGTTTTGTTATGTACATTTCAAATATGTTCCTTCTTTCAACAAAGATGTTTATTACTGCACACTGTGTAGATGAAATAAAGGCCGTAGTCTGTGATAGATTACTAAACTTGGCTTTGTTTCAGGTGAGAGCAATTGAAGTATATTTATTGCACCCAATAACCATGGTACTAACAGCTAGTAAAGATACAAGAATTTCACTGCTCAGTAACCTAACACCTGACTCAGGATATCATTAGACGAGCCATCTCAAGGCAGAGTGATTGCCTCTTACATCAATACAGCCACCTCCTTAATTGCTGCTTGCAGATAAGCCTACTTCTCTCTTTTGCTTGCAATTCCTGCTCTTCCAGGACAACTACTGCTCAATGACAGCAGCATTCCCATAGAGAAAGGAGAGTCTCAGGCTAAAAATTTTAAAAAATATGAATTTCCATAAAGCTTCTTTTATTCTGCTCTCACTGCCTAGCAACAAACACAAGCCTCAACGGTTAAAGAGTTCATCTGGTGATTCACCAGGCACACAACCCTATGTCGAAGTAAAAGGGCCACTGACTTCTCCACGGACGCCCTAACCTCGTGTTAGAATACCTCTCTCCAGTCCATCTGTGTGAGAATAGATAATTGACAACTAAATGTAACATAGGGCCGCCCCACTCTATGAAGGGGCTGTCTGTGACCCTAATGCCTCACGGCTGCCGGCGCAAGCGGGCAGCGATGGCCCAGCAGCTCCCGAGGGCACCTCTAAGGCCGCCGGCCTCAGCTCAAAATGGCGCGGGCCACGCAGAGCCCCGCCGGGCACCGCCCGCACCGGGGCAAAATGGGACCCCGCCGCCCACGCGGCCGCCGCCTCCACAAACTACGCGTCCCAGAGTGCCCCGCGTCACTTCCGGCAGGGAGCCGGGCCCATCACTTTCCCGCCTCCCTCCCCGCGGGGCGCAGGGCACGCCGGGACCTGCAGTTTGCCCCTCCGTCCCTTCGCCGCCGCGGCGCTTTACCCCCCGGGCCGCGGCCTCACGGCGGTCGCCGTTCCGCAGTATCCGCACCCTCTACGTGCCGCCCCACGGAGCGAGCTGCTCCAGCTTCAAACAAACGCGCGGCATCGCGACGCGGTGCCCCCCGGATGTCCGAGCGCGAACCAACAAGCCCGGCTGCCCCTCAACTCTACTCGCCCAGCGCCGCACCCATCCGCCCTGCTGACCCCTTACCGCCGCCGCCACCGCTCCACAGGAAAAGAGGGGGCGGGGGGCGCTCGCGGCCTTTATATGGACTTAGCGGGGTGGGAACGAGGCTAGCCCCGCCCATCGCCCCGCGAGCCGAGGGCGGGGACTGTGAGGGCCGGGCGCAGGAATGCGCTTTCCCCGCCCAGCGCGCGCCCGCGCTCGGAGGGGCCGGCGGTTGTTGCCCCGCCTCGCGTCCTGCCCTCAGCTCGCGGGCGGGGCGGGGCTGCGGCTGGTGGCGCGGTTCCCTTCGCGCCGCGCTCGGGGGGCTGGTGAGGAGCGTTGGAAGAGGCGGAGTTTCGTGTGTCAGCCGGCTGTTGTTGGGGCTCTCAGCTCGCAGGGATTTTGCATAAAACGCACGACGAGTAGAGACAGAAAGGAAACGCAGCTCCACCTCATGAGCTTACCACGAATGCGTCTGCTGAGTTCTTGTTTGCTTTTGTCTGTGTTCTGATGGTGTTTCCCAGGGCTTCAGCTAGCTGAACTGTTCTATAGCTCTGCATAAGCCTTTCAGCTTTCCTTTGTCTCTAATTAGATCTTCCTGGAATCGCACCGCTCGCACGCCCTTTCCCTTTTTGGAAATGGCACGCACCGCTTTACCGCGTACAGCATTCCGAGTCGGCGGGGCAGACAAATCGTCTGGTGCTCGCAGCGGGTGGAACGCTTTCTGGCACGGCTATTGCTTCCTTCTGCAGTTTGTCACCGGAGGGTCGGATCACTGCTCCACGGTGAACCCGGGGGCGGGCTTGTTCCGGTCCCAGACAGAAAGCCGCTTGGTTTGCAGCCGGATGGCCTCGTGTGCTGGTGTGGCAGTGCTAGCGAAATGACTGGGAATGCGCTGCAGTGGGGGTGGCAGGGGCACTGGAACCTCGGTGGTGCTAAAACTGCTGTGAAACCACCTCCTAAATTGTACCATCGTAGAATCATTAAGGTTGGAAAAGACCTTTAAGAGCGCCTTAGAGTTCAATCATCAGCCCACCCCCATCATGCCCACTAACCACATCCACACGGTTCTTGAGCACCTCCAGGGGCGGTGACTCCACCACCTCTTGGGCAGCCTGTGCCACTGCCTCACCGCTCTTTCTGAGAAGAAGCTTTTCCTGATATCCAATCTGAATCTCCCGTGGTGCAATTTAGGATTATTACCTCTTGTCCTATCTCTGTTACCTGGGAGAAGAGGCTGACTCCCGCCTCACTCCATTCTCCCTTCAGATAGTTGTAGAGAACGATAAAGTCTTCCTCAAACCTTCTCTTCTCCAGTCTAAACAATCCAGTTCCCTCAGCTGCTCCCCATAAGAATTGTGCTCCAGACTCTTTACCAGCAATGTTGCCTTTCTTTGGGTGCACACTTTGTGAAGGGAACCTCACTAGCTTCTGTAATCTGTCAGAAGAAACTTGTTATCTCAGTTAGATTTTAGGAGACAAGTTTACTGGTAGTGCCTGAATGCAAATTGTACACAAACAAGATTTCCAAGAGAAATACAGGTCGTATTTCTCAGCAGCACGTAAATCTGCTAGTCACTGGTCAAGCTTCTGGGCCAAGGGAAGTACAGTGTAATAGAGATGGGCAATAATTACAATTGCAAGACTGAAAAATGTTATCAACAACAACAACAAGCCTGCAATTCTACATCATATTTTAAGATAAGTTTCCTTCTTAGCTGCTTTGCTTTCCCCTCCTTCAGGCTTCCCCCTTTTGGAGCTACACCCCAGGTGTTTGGATGAGAGTGCAAACTGTAGAGCAACACCTGATCCTCAAACTCTGTTCTGCAGCAAAATCCAAAGGCTAGTTGGAGCCAGGAGTGCGATTGCAGCAAGGCTTAATTT